AAATTATCCCAAATTACTTAAAATACTATTCACTTTTAATACAAAAAAAAAAAACCCTAATCAAAACACACAATTTTCAAGGAACCCAAACGCTACCGATAACCCTAAAACACTAAATTATACAGCTTTATGGTCCACGGGCTATGAAACATCGATAGTCTTTGACTCAGTGGCGAAGCCAGAAAATTCAATAAGAATGTTCAAAATTTGATCACCCATTGTTAGTGGGTTATGCAAGAGTATTCAAAGTTTATCTTTTATCAATAATAAGTAACATTTTACCTTATATACTGTATAATTTTTCGGGTGTTCAATTGACTATCCTTGGCGACACATAGCTTTACCCCTGGTTCTTGTATATGGCTTCATTTGAATCCATAATTTTTAGCCTAGAGATATATGTGTAAAATTTACCAAAATTGTTGAAATTAAACTCGAATGAGATAACGTGTTCAATGGTAAGAACCTAAGTCCTAAACCTACAAATTTAAAATCCTGGATCCAGCTCTTCCTTATATAATCACGTTTTTATAAAATTGTAGAAGATGTAGCTTGTTTGTAGTTTTATTAGTTTAAATTAGAGAGAGGCAGTGCTAATGAGGCCTTAACTTAACAAGTAGGCAATAAGGAAACCTCCAAATTCTCTAATTAGGTCAGCTAAACCTTTCAAGGAGAAAGAAAATATGTAAAATCACTATTCTTAAGTGGTTACGAAAGGAAATCTCAACTAGCTAGCTAGGGATGTGAGGGCAGAAAACAATGCAAGTTCTCAATTATCATCTCAATAATTCCATCATATCAATATATAATCAATATTGATTTGCCCATGCAAAATTTGTCTAACCCCTTTGGATGATGAGAATCTCTCATCTTTTAACTTTATTTATTTTTTGTTTAACCCTATCAATGGTGTGAGAAAATAAAAGGGGTAGCAACTAACAACCCCTCAATTTCAATCTGGTTGGTTTAGGCATCATAAATGCTTCATTTTCACGTCCCTTTCGCTTAAGCTAGGTGATAAGATCATTTTTGTTTAATTATTTCATTGATAACGCTATTAAATAAAAGAATTTCAATAAACATCCTTTTTTGTGGAAAATTACAATATTGGTCCCTCTATTTATATTGTTTTTTATTTTAATACTCTATTTCACATTAACATTCAGGTTTTAGACACTGTTACTTTAGTTCAATAAACAGTAAAAGCAACTTCTTCGACGATAATTAACATACATAACGCATGCCTCTCTAGATTTGTATATTTTCCTTTGATCTTATCCCTCTTACCACATATATCTCTTTAGTACATATACTTTTACTTAATGCTTATTTTAATTCAATTTATTAGTGCTAAGATTAATTAAATTATTCTCTTTAATATATAAACATTAGGCGTGAGTAAATATTTTTCGGAAATACCATAGTTCTACTATTAACTGTATAAAACTTCATTTGCAAAATAAATTTATTGGTGTTCTACTCTCAAATACTGAAATTCTCAGTCTCTACGTAGTCCTCCTTTCCCCGAGACATGAATATATAATGCGAAGGATAAATTTTCAACTATCACAGTATAGTTTTTGAATTTTTCATGACATAAATATCGCGCTGCTATATTTTCACTATTTATAACCTACTGATAAAACAAAAGCTCCATTTCTCTTGTTCGTACTTGTATATATAGCGTGTATATTATAATTATATATGGGAGTCCCCAAAGCTCAATTTAACAAATTAAAGTACACTTGAATATGTTGTTGGTAATGTATTTGCTACAGTGCCGTATTTCTGCCGTCATTTGGAGCTCAAGTTTCTTTTACTGATGATGTGTTTACTTAAAACAATGATTAGTAACATGTTAATCTCTAAAATTTCCACAAATTCCTGATCAAAAGTCAAGAATTGTTCCTCCATTTTCAACTGACATTCTCGAATACTATTCTTTGTCAAAATTCAATCAATTCCAAAGCTAAAGAATGCTTCTAGGTTAATTAAAAATAGCACACTCTTCTTCTTTTCTGTTTCATTTTATATGATACTATTTTTTAACTGTTTCCAAATTTTATTGACATATTAATTTTATATATGAAAACTCATTAATTTTAGTAAATCTAATCTATCCTAATATTTACATTATTTAATAAATTTTCTAAAAGGATATAATATCTAAGCAAAAGTTAGTAGATTCGTTCGACCCGTTTACGGCCACGGGCAAGGGCACTGCTAGCATCGCCGGAGCTGCTGCCTCGACCTTTGGCGCTTTTATATGGCGAATTCCTTTAAGGACAAAAAGGAGACAAATCTGAAAACATGGTCGAGCAGAATTGCAGAAGGAAATATATAGGAGTTGGGCAATAATGAAACTTGGAAGAAAATCTTATATAGGTAGGGCCACCATCCAAGTGGGTAATGGAAGCATGTGCCATCATATGGTGGTTGGCACTTATCCAGCCCCACCTAAACTCATCACCTTTTCACCTCCAAACCTACCCTTCTTTTTCCATAGGCAGATTCATGAATTGAAAGCTTATGCTTACACTCCGTCTAAGTTAAGTCTAATTTGTTTTGGGCATACCCATTCAAGAAATGCTAAATTCTAGACAAAAATAGTTAATGTGACTAAATTATCCTTAATTAAATATTGCACCAGTACTTCTCTTCTCAAATGTGAGGACTAAATGACTTTTTAGGGATACTTACTTAAGGATAATTTTGAAAAAATAAATTGAATTTTTTTTACAACAACAACGACGACCCAATAAAATCCTACTAGTGGAGTCTGAGCGGGTAGTGTGTACGCAAACCTTACCCCTACCCCGAAGAAGTAGAGAGGTTATTTCTGAAAGACCCTCGACTTCTTGATTATATAAATGGACACTTATTTTGGACAAAAATAAAATAAATTGGTCACTATATATATATATATATATATATATATATATATNTTATAATTTTTATCTTTTGAAAATGTTACTCACCCTATTCTTTCTTTATTTATACTAAAAAATAGCTACAATTTTGTAATTGAAAATAATTATATTACATTCAAAATACCCTCCATTATACTACGTCTAGTGACATATTTGTTAGGACCTCGCTCACATAATATAAACGACTGTTGAAGAAAAAAAGTGAAGAACACATGCATGTAAAACTTATCATCTTTCATTTAATTTGGGAATACATTTTGTATTTTCTGAAACAACACCACGTAATTCTATTGATCATTCATTTTAGTTTGTTTTAAAAAAGAATGATATATTTTTATATTTTTAAAAATAATTTAACTTTATATTTTATACTTAATTAATAGTATGCTTTAATTTTATAACTAAAGATATCTCATATTAGCATATTTGATATTATAATTTTTTAAAATATTTATTTTTTTAATTAAATTCGTTTATTCAAATTAGATCATGTAAATTAAAACGGGTAAAGTAATATACAACTCACATATTCTCTTTTTGAATACAAAACACACATTAAAGATAGATTCTCAAAAATCCCTCCCCCTTCCGCATCTTCTTCTCACCTCCCATTTTGATCCCCCTCATTCATTGTTTCCTTCATATTCCCTTCACACACGTTCGTTCTTGATAATACCTTCTCTCACCCCACCACCCTCTATATATATCTCTTTTGTTATAAGTAGATTTTGTGTGTCAGAATTAAGTTAGAAAACTGATAGCTTTCTTTTGTCCATGTGATCAAACAACAACAAAAAGGGAGGCCCCCTTTGTTTCACAAGCATATCTTTTTATCTTCACCAAATTAAAAGACCGTTTTGTTTTTTTTTTCAATCATTCCCATTTCAAATAAACCCTAAATTTTGCTCCTATGACTACTACTCCAAGAAGATACTTGCGTTTAAGCCGACGTTCAATCAAAACTAGATTTGCGTATCGGTTTCTTCGTGCTCTTAAAAACTGAATAAGCAGAAAAAACCCAATTCAAATAGGGTGAAACAATATCATAAGGTAAAACTTGCTGCTTATGCTTCTATGGCCTCTGCGGTCGGGTCAAAACGAGCTTGGAGTCGGGCCTTGCTTTTGAAGATCCGAAACCGAGGTCTGACCCGAGCCCTGGTGAAGAAAAGAGTAGACGAAGAAAACCCTGGAGAAGAGACTGGATTTGGATATACAAATGAGCTGAGAAAGCTTGTACCAGGTGGTGAAGTAATGGATTTCTACAACTTGTTAGATGAAACTGCTGATTATATCAAGTGCCTTTCATCACAGGTACAGGTTATGAGAAATATTCTTGATCTATTTTCGTCCTGAACCTAAGTATTATATTAGTAACAAGAACATATATGGAAGTTACGTACAGCTAAGCCCTGAATAATGAAAAGAGAATTGAGGCCAAATACACATTTAGCTCGCTGGAAAGAGACCCTACGTACTGATCATGCATAGGACAAATATTTGTTCTTTGCAGTACCCATGATGAAATAAATCTTGCAACTTGCCTAATGTATTTATCATTTTGATGAGGTCACGAATCATATTGCTTAATTGTGTACATAAATATTTCAGTACTCTACTCTTATAGGAGTATCATGGTTCTCTCTCTATATATAACTATATCGAGCTTTGTTGTGTGCGTGTTTGAGTACTGTGATGCTCTTTTTTTGTTCTTTATTACTCCCTCCTTCCTAAGTAAGTGTCACTTTTTCTTTTTGGAGAGTCAATTTGACTAATCTTCTAAGTTAAATTTAGTTAGATATATCAACTCGATATTTTATAATTAAAATTTAGATATTTAAAAGTACACAAAATGCACTGCTATAAGTTACAATTATCTTCTCATGTCAATATAATAAAAAATATTTAATGTATTGGTCGAAATTCACATAACTTAAATTTCGATAACGAGAATGAAGGGAGTACTTTTTTGAGTAGGGGTAGGGGTTATAGTGGGAGGAGGAGATGGACTCAGGATATTTGGGTTAGCGTTTTGGTCGGGGGTTGTAGACAGCAAATATTATGAAGTTGAGATGTGTCTATATGTTGTTTATTACTGACTAAGCTTAAGCGATAAGCGTACGTTATGATTCAATCTGAAAACAGATGACCATAAGTTTGAAAGACATAAACTTGGAATTCTAACCTTGACTTAACCTAAGCTTTTATGTTTAATTACTTTTTGTTTGAATTATCTTAAAGTTAATTAGTTGTTTTATTTTTTTTTTTCTCTTGGTAAATTTAGTTTGATTGTAATACAGTTCATGCTGCTGGATGAATGATGGGATAGGTTCTTGGAAATTAGAGAAGATATTAGGCTGGGCCCAGCTCTAATTAATTTAATGATATTTAGAGTTTTTTTCTTTTTCGAGGAGAACGTAGTTAAATTGTTTTCAATGAATCAAGGTTGCCTCTACTCATCCTAAAACTTTATAAGAGTTCAAAATATTCTTGTACCTTTTTCTTTTAGTATATCATCTTCTCTTTCTTTTAAAAATTCTCCTTCTTTAACTTATCCGAAGGAAAAAAATCTTGAAGTCTTTCATCTTTCACTTCCCTTCTTTCTTGTTTCTTCCTAGCTAGGTTGATCAGTTAGATATTGAAACAAGGATGGGGGAGGAAAATAAAATAACTCACTTTGTTTCAATCATTCATTTCCTTATTTTCCTCTTCTTCTTCTTTTTTTTTCCCTACCAATCAACCACCAACGTAACTTTGCGTTTTGTTCACTTCGAAAATATACAACCAATTAATCGGCATACAAAAATTGATTTTCCCAAGATATAAATATAAAAAGAAAAGATATAGCTTGTATTCTTTGGCAGTATAATCTGAAATTTTGACGCTATAATTTTACCTCATTTCATATTACTAATCATACTTATTATAAAAAGTTACATGTAATGATAATAAAAAATATAACGCTTTCGGTATGTCAAAGTTAAAGTCAAAAAATGATGCAGTTGTGTTTCCATTACATATACAGAATGTTGCAAATAACAGGTCTATACTTTCTTTTTTGGTAAACTAAGTATTTATTTCTCTGTTTGTTATTCTGTTATTATACCGGCTCTTCCTGGTTCTTCCGTGGTTAAGGAAATTCTTTCCATTTCCAGTAAGTCAGGGCTAATTTGGGTGGGTGGGAAGGAAGAAGTTGCTGTCAAACCTGCCATTTTCTCTGTTCTATAAACTCGTGGTTTGATGCTAATTGAGCAAATTCGTAACAAAGGAGAACTTTACGTTCTACCGGAAGGAAGAAGCTGTCTGGCTAGATTTTTTTTTATAACCATTTCGTATATATCCGGCAGCAGTGGCGGATGCAGCGTATAACCTACGGTTCAACTGAACCCATAACTTTCGACGCGGAGTAAAAATTTGTATGTAAAAATTCATTAAAATTGCAAAAATAGTAGATATGAACCCATAAATTTAAAAATACAATGGATTCAATCTTAAAAGCCTTAAAATTGAACTCATAAGATTTAAATCCTGGATCCGCCTCTGTCCGACAGTGGCGAAGCCAATAATTTAAATAATAATTTCCTTAGACCAAGAGGATTCAAAGTACAACTGTAAAAAAAAAAAAATCTATTTGCATAATATATTATTTTTCAACGAAGCGGTTTTTATTGAACCCCCTTGCACCCTTAGTTTTGCCCCTGACATCCGATGCTCGCAGTCTGCTTAATTCAAATTTGTATTGCGTAGGATCCATTAAAAGGGAAGCTCTCATTACCGGAACTTTTTAATTATTCTTATGGTTCGAACTTGAAACCTCTTAAGGTCCATGGATGTAATGGACATTGTGAATACACTCATGAGAATTTATCAAGCAATACCGGCAAATGTGCGAATAAAGTACACTTATGTCACGATCCAGAATTTCGACCCTCGGTACCGTGATGGAGCCTAATATTTCACTTGCCAGGCAAGCCAACGTAAGATTAATTTTAAGCCATTTTTAAATAAATCAAATTTAAATGATGCCAATTACTAATATAACTTAGATGGAACCCAAATAAAGCGCAGAAAATCATAACAACTGAAATATGTAAATACATCTGCGAATCTGGTGTCACAAGTGCACGAGCTACTAGAATAGTACAGATAAAGATCTGAATAAAAGTAAAGGTGTCTGAAAAAAATACACAGTTAAGATAAAGAGGAAGGGGACTTTAGGGGGTTGCAAACGCCGAGCAGTTGTACCTCTAGTATCCGTACTAATAGGCAACCCGAGCAATCTACGAACCAATGCTGGGACCGACTCCAAAATCTACACAAGAAATAAAAAGTGTAGTATGAGTACAACCAACCCCATGTACTCTGTAAGTGTCGAGCCTAACCTCGACGAAGTAGTGAAGAGGCTACAGCGGACCACTTACAATAACCTGTCGCATTATAAAAATAATGACAGGAAAGGAAAATACGAAAAAATAAGGCAGCTAACTCATGAAAATTACTCAAGCCTTGAAAACCAGTAAAAACAGAAATACCAATCCTCAGAGTCTCGTACGAAAGCACTGAAGCCAACACAACACAACAAGGAATGTAAATCATATAAACTGTTGACGCACAACCTGATCCTACCGTATAACACAATTCTCCCTTATTCCACCATGTAAATATCAATAATAATAATAATAATAAGTAAATATATGTTGTGGCGCGTAACCCGATCCCATCATATAACCAGAGTAAATGACATAATTATCCTTTATTTCACCATATCAATCCATCCTTATTTCACTTGTTGTGGTGTGCAACCTGATCTCACCGTATTAATACAAATCCACCCTTGTTCCACATGTTACAGCGTGCAACCCGATCCATAAATAAATCAACAAGAGCAATCACTTTAACAACTCGAATCACAAAAATTTCTACGATTAACAATATGAAAGCTACAAATCAAGAAGGAATCTAGTACCAAATCATGAAAGGCTACAATTAACACTGAGCAAAAAGTTAAATAAAATATATGGCAGTTAAAGGGTACAAGTAGGAAAATTAAGGCAATTATCAATTAAGCATAGAAACATGAAAAAAATTAATATTTAAAATACGAGAATAATAAATGACAAATAGCAAGGTGAGGCATAGGAAGCAATTAAAGCATGTAACAGTCAAGACATGAAATGATATAATTAATGAAATAAGGGTAGACATGGGAACAAGTAATTGACGGCGTATAGACACACGTCACCTCGCATATACGCCGCTACACATGAAATTTTACATAGCAAATAGTTCAAAGGTTCCTGTTCCCTCAAATCAAGGTTAGACGTAGCACTTACCTCACTCTACAATCAATTCAGAGCTCTACCAGGGCCTTTCCTCTAGAATCCGTCTCCAAATCAATCGAATCTAACAAAAATTGACTCAATAATATTAAATAATGCTAGAAAAAATAATTACAATACATAATGTTAAGATTTTTACACTTTTCTCAAAAAGTCAATAAAAGCCAACTCCAGGCCTGCTTGGTCAAAATTCGAGATTCGGACCAAAACCAATTTACCAATTCACCCCCGAGCTCGATTATGTAATTTATTTCAAAATTGGACCCCTAATTGATGTCTAAATTACGAATTTGAAAAACACCCAATTCTTCTGATGTCGCCTAAGTTCACACCTCAAATTGAGGTTGTAAAGCAGGCGATGTAATTATAATTACCCAACTAGGAGTCGCGATCGATTCCTCAGGGAGCGTAGATGGGATTAGGTATATACTCGGACTAAGCATATAATGTGTCCAAAATGCACTTCCACATACTTTGGTGTTTTTATCTACTTCTAAATTAAGCTATTGTTTGCAAGTATAAAGCTAGAGAATGATATTTTTGGTGTTGTTTTTCAAGTTGTAAAAGATCTAGGACTGTGACTTCTACCTAGGTGGTTACCTAACGGGTTGTGGGCTTTAGAGCGAGTTTCATTGGTCGGGACGTAATATAGCAATCGACACGCAATTACCCACTCAATACCTCTCGAAAATAGAGTGGTTTTGCCCAATTTGGCTTTCTCAAGCCCAAATGGGTAATTCACAAAATAGTTGATAGATGCTCAAGTCGGATTTTACTATTTCTAGATTCAACCCTTTAATTGGGACTATCAATTTCTTGAGTTCACCCCAATTTTTTGTTAGTCAAGTTTTCCTAGACTTAATCTCTCTTTCTCAAGTAGAGACTAAGTCAATTAGGAATGAATCAATATTAGCAACTATTAATTCTTAAATTAAAGCAAGACTAGGCTAAATATCACACACCCAACCTTAAACAAGCCCTAAATCAAACACCCATTAGGTACCTACACTAGGTTTG